CCCCCCCCCCCCCCCCCCCGTGGACGTCAACCATCTCCTCGCCGAGTATCACCCCCTCCCCTGATTGAGACAATGGAACTATAGGGGATTACACACCTCTCCCCAAAATACACAGCTGAATTCAATTTCCCATGACAGCACAATTTTCTCTCCTTGTTTTTGTAAGGTCTACAACACTCTAATTATTTTCTTCTGTGTGTCTCTTTGCCCAACAAATCAAAATTTCGATTGGGAAAAAACATAACAAAAAAATGTTACCAGATCACCGGGAATGTAAGTTTTCATTTTTACTAGCAGAAAATTAACTCATCTCGGGCGAACGGCCAGGCAGTAATTTGAAATACTGCTTATGAAAACTTCCACTCTGCACATTAGATTGTTAATTCACACAAAGGATTAAGTGATTCCATATGGATGAAGGGTTCATTGTTATTATCCACAATCAAAAGTTTAATTTCCGTTACGACCAATTGAGATTTGATCTCCTCATTTAAGACGACAATCATTTGGTGAATTCCAATGTGCTGAGTATTTCTTCACGTTGTTGCTATAGCGATACTATCTACATTGCTATGGCGATAAAACAGTAAGGGATGTACTGACATCATTATTAAGTCAGGGATGTATCATTTGAGGTAACGGAGGGAATTGAGAAATCTGAGAATAAGAAAATTTCCTCTGAATCAATTATTCATATAAGTCCTAATTTATTTAACCTTTTCACCACCAGACTTTCTTGCCTAAATTTGTCTTTACTTTTTTCTTATATTCTTCAATATTTCTGGAAACGAACTCTAATTTTGGAGCCAAAAGACAAAATTTTAGTGAATTTTCAGTTTTTACTCAAAAATATTCACCTATTTTTGTCCCAATCTTCTGAAGGAAAGTGCAGACTATAAACTATTTTGTGAATTTGTGATGAAAAGAGTTTTAGATCAAACAGACAAAATGTGATAATAGTTTTAGTTTTAGTTCAACAAATATCGCAATATTTTATCTGGAAAAAAATCAAACTATATATAGAACTAATTTGAGTCAATTTTCAGCTTTTACTAAAAAAACTTGTTTTTTTTTTTGTCCCAATCTTTTGGGCAGACTATTTTGAAAATTGAGGACTGGTGGTTGTAAAGGTTAGACATTTGAAGTATCATTTTACAGTGTTTAACTTCAACAAAATAAGATAAAATATCGCCATGGAATCCTGAATTTTTATTATCATAGATAAGAAAAAAATGGATTGAGTTACCATCCCTTCCGAAGTTTTGCAAATTCATTTCTAAACAGTGTCTGTGGACTAAAAATACTCTTACAATCATTTTTAGACACATTGGAAAAAATTCGTAATAATTTACAAACTATGTCAAAATTTATAAAAAATTATAAAGTTTAAAAGTTTCACTGATAGAAATTTTAGCAATTTCAAAAATTCACTGCATTTGTTAATACCAAATTTCATGAATTTCAAAAGTTCATTTCTAAATTTGGTGTCGTCAGACCGCAAAAAAAATTTCAGTTTTAGAAAATTTGGAGAAATTCATAACAATTTTATCTCTTGAGAAATTCAAGTTGTTTACAACAATTGAAAAATTAATAACTTCATGCAGTGATGGTTTTTTTATTATTTAATAACTTTATTAATATTTTCTCTAAAAATTCAGCCACTTTCCCCTAAATATTTATTTGTTAATGAATTGATTATAATGAAAAAAATGTGTTGCTTCTTATTTTAGGTAAAAATATGCAGTGATGGTTTTAATTTATAATTTTTTTTATTTATTTTTTATTCAATAACTTTATTAATTTTTCCTCTAACAATTCAGCCACTTCCCTAAATATGTATTTGTTAATGGATTGATTATAATGAAAAAAAAAATGTGTTGCTTCTTATTTAAGGTAAAAATAGGCAGTGATGTTTTTACCATAATTTATAAATTTGTTTATTTTTTTTGTATTAAAATTATTCAATACCACAACATTTGATATATGTCCAACGTTTAATATTTAGTGAATATTAATCATGAATACATGTATAATAAAGGTTGATTTGGATTTCCAACAAATTCTCTGAAAACAGAAAACAGACATTTCTCCATTCTACCACATGTAGTGCACTTCACTGGTTCACAAAGATCAAAAATAATGTGTAGGACAAAGTCTTTTTTTTTTTTTTTTTTTTTTTTTTACATGAACACAAACAAATATTTGCCAACTTTTATTTGAAATTAAGGAGAAGTTAGAGTATCAAAATTTAGCAATTTTAAAATCATACACTTTTTTTTTTAACTTAATAAGGCAAGTATTTATCATTTGTAATCTTGATTTGAACTTTTGTTTATGTAATGAAGCAACGACTACGCTTGTAAAAATCTTAAAAGTAGTTAACTCAGTTGGCGTAATCGGACGAAATATCAGGTGCTCTAGAAAGCAGCAAATTGTCTATTACTAATTTGCATAATTGGAAATGTCCCATATATAAAGATTGATATTAGCCGTAATGATATGTGACAGCTTTATATTCATTATTTACTGTATCAGTGGGCGTTATCAAATTACCTGTCCAAAAAAAAAAAAAAAAAAAAAAATGAATGGTTTCATTTTTGCAACTGACTGAAATACTTTATTTTAGCTTGGAATTAATTTTCGCTATTTTCCGAGTCGGTGAAGGGATGATTCAGTGAAAATAAAATCCAGCAAATATACTCTTTTTCCTATATTTTACATTCAACTCATCTAAAATCAGTGAAAATAAATTCCATACAAAACACCAAAAAAATCTTTTCAGCAAAAGTAAATTGTGAAAATTATTGTTTTTTTTTTGCCACGTTTTAAGGTAGATTTTAATTTTAAAGAAGCTGGTGTACACATTTAATTTAAATGACATTTTATTTACCTATTTACTGTAAAATACTTTATTTTTGCTTGAAATTAATTTTCGCTATTTTCGCTGAAGGAATGATTCGGTGAAATTCAGCAAGTTTTCCCTTTTTTCTATATCAGTGAAAATCAATTCCATACAAAGCACCTAAAAAATCTTTTCGAGCGAAAATTAATTCCAAGCTAAATGAAAGTATTCTACAGTTTATCATTTTTTTAAAAAGTATGCAATATTTTTATTTATTTATAGTTTTTTTCTGTCCCAGCAGAATTTCGTTTTCTGATTTTTTTATGTTTAGTCTGCCTTCATTATGACACCCCGCAAAGTTTCCAATGGTAAAACTCCTCATTAATTACAATATTTATTAGATTTTTTATGAAAGAAACAGAATTTCTGATTTCTTAATAATTGTTTAAATTTTTCATGAGAAACACAAAATTGTGACACTCTTTCCAATTCTCACATTGTTCTTGAGGAAAATATGAGCATAAACTAAAATCTAGACAAGGGGAGGGATGTTGTCAGATGGAACAGCCAGTTCATTGAGCTTCCACAAAGGGGAGGAGTTGAACAATATACAACAGCCATTTGGGATATTAGCAAGTGATATTAAAAGGCCAGAAATAGCAGAACAGAAAGGAAATGGAAATTAAAATCCCATTTAGGAAGAAAAAAAAAATCAATATGTGCTTTCCAAGATTCCTCACGAGAGGCTTTTTTTAATGTGAGGTGTTCTTTTAGAACGGAAACGTCAATTGCATTAGACAGTTGTGAAACGTCGATTGGTAATTACAAGAAATTGAAGATGAATGTCAAATGACATGATGTATGATTGTAGCTTTGTGATAATATACATTAATATTCAAACCGTCTTTTCATGGAATTGACATTCTCCGGTGAAAATCTGAAAGCTAGATCTTCAACTGCTTTATGCACGATCCCCTAAAGGTCACACATCCTGGTACTTTGCATGACCACCTAAAGGTCACACATCCTGGTACTTTGCACGACCACCTAAAGGTCACACATCCTGGTACTTTACATGACCACCTAAAGGTCACACATCCTGATACTTTGCATGACCACCTAAATGTCACA